TCCTCATTTGGTGGCCTTTTTCTTGGCTGAAAAGCTGCCCATTTCCACTTTCCTTGTTATTCATAATAGATTGCCGGGCAGAAATAATTTTGCCCGGCCGTTTGGCCAATAGCGAGGCTGTCACTAAGTGCTTGAGGACAGACATGGAGACAGAGGGGCCTTTGTCTGAAGGGGGGGGGGTCTGGCCAGAAAAATTTGGAAGCGTGGGCAGCCCGTCTCTCTTTCTCCATCTCTCTCTCTCTCTCTCTCCTTCTCTTTCTGTCTCTCTCTCCCCCTCCTTCTGTCTCCTTCCCTCCTCTCTCTCTCTCTCTCCATCTCTCCCTCCTTTCCCACCTCTCCATCTCTCTCTTCTTCTTTCTCTCCATCTCTCTCCTCCTCTCTCCCTCCCTCCTTTCCCACCTCTCCATCTCTCTCTTCTTTCTCTCCACCTCTCTCCTCCTCTCTCCCTCCCTCTTTTTCTCATTCTCCATCTCTCTCCCCTCCCTCCCTTTCTGTCTCCCTCCCTTCTCCTTTCTGTCCATCTCTTTCTCTCCCTTTCTCACCTCTCCATCTTTCTCTCCATCTCTCTCCTCCTCTCTTCCTTTCTCCATCTCTCTCCTCTCCCTCCCTCCCTTTCTCTTCTCTATCTCCTTCCCTCCTCCTCTTTCTCTCCATCTCTCTCGCTTCTCTCACCTCTATCTCTCTCTCCCTTTCTCACCTCTCTCCATCTTTCTCCTTCTCTCCTCCCTCCCTTTCTCTCTCTATCTCCTTCCCTCCTCCTCTTTCTCTCCATCTCTCTCGCTTTCTCACCTCTCTATCTCTCTCCCTTTCTCACCTCTCTCCATCTTTCTCCTTCTCTCCCTCCCTCCCTTTCTCTCTCTATCTCCTTCCCTCCTCCTCTTTCTCTCCATCTCTCTCGCTTTCTCACCTCTCTCTCTCTCCTCTCTTTCTCACCTCTCTCCATCTTTCTCCTTCTCTCCCTTCTTTCTCGCCTTCTCTCTCTCTCTCTCTCTCTCCTTCTCTTTCTCTCCATCTTTCTCCTCTCCCTTCTTTCTCGCTTTCTCTCTCTCTCTCTCTCTCTCCTTCTCTTTCTCCTCCCACCCTCTATCTCTCTTTCTCACCTTTTCTCTCTTTCTCTTGCAAAACGGAGCAAAACTCAATTTAACGGTCTCGCTGAGCAACAGAAATTTGGGGCCCAGTTGTGGCCCTTAAGTTGAGGACTCCCTGCGTCTACGGAGACCAACTGTCTCCAGACCGATTAAACCGTCTCTCCCTCTTCTCTTTTCAATTCCAGATGAAGAAGAAGCCGGAGTGGAGGAGACCCTCCCCCAGTGCCAAAATCCCAGCTGTACGGAGAACCAGGGGGCCGTCAAGGTAATTCCCCTGCCCACCAGCAGTGCCCCATGGGCTTTGGGATCTATCCTGGCCAGATAGGTTCATCAGTATTCATCAGGTGCTTTGGAGAATAGGTAGACCCCCCCCCTTCTTTCTGGGGAGCCCCTCAAATACTGGAAGATGCTATGTCACCTCTAACCCCTCTTTTAGAAATTTTAGAAATTTAGAAACATGGGATATTTTCAATTTGCAGCATGGAAGAACTCCGCTTGCCAACAAGGAACAACAGGTGGCCTTCAGGTTACGACCGAGCCCAAAAGTTACGCTGCTAAGCGAAGCCTTTGTTAAGTGAGCTTTTCCCTCCGCCGTTCTTAAGCGAATCATTCTCCCTGCTCCATTCCTTGGGGTGATTTTTTTTCTCGACACCCCCTCCTCCTGCCCATCCTCCCCAGCCAGGGCCCATCTTGCTCTCCTAAGGGACGTGGGGGCATGTTAAGCATTCCGCAAAAGCGGCAGTTCCCCGGGCTCGTCTGCGGACTCCTGCCAAAATGCAGACGTCCGACCCGGGTCAGCCCTCTCGTAATGTGTGAATTGGCTGCACGCCAGCCCTTCCCTCGGCCAGACCCAGGCGCAGCGCTGATACCCACAATTTTCCTGGCGGATTCTGCCGCCAGATCGTAATTTGTGTGTCTGCCTGCAAATTAGCCGCGGGGAAGACTGTCTGTTCCCCTGCTTTAATCGGACCGCCTCTTCCCGTAATAAAACTGCATTTTATTCTCCCTGGATGAAGACTCAGCTGTGTTGGAAGTTTTTGGGGGTGGCTTTTCTTAAATTTTTGGGGGTGATTATTTTAAGTCCTTTCCGGACCTCACTTCTGTTTTTTCCCCCCCTTGCTTTAAAACATCACTTTGGCTCATAATTTCCCCTTTCTCTCCTCTTTTACTGATTAGCATTTATTTGTGAATTACGAATTATTTGCTAATTGTTTTATTAATTCGATTATTTATATTTCTTTCCGATCTGCCTAACCCAGTAGTGCTTTGTGGGTTGCCTGCTCAAGGATTCTCCACTTAGGAGCCTCCAGTTGAAGACAATGTACTCCTCGGCTTACGACCATTTGTTTAGCGACGGGCCATCCTCGACTTGTGACCGCAATGGAGCCCGAACGTTTCTGCTGCTAAACAAAAAAGTTGTTAAGGGAGCCTCGCTCCATTTTATGACCTTGCTGGCCACGGTTGTTAAGTGAATCGCTGCAGCTGTTAATAACGTGGCTGTGTGTCTCTTTTCCCTGTCTCAAAAGGTCTTTCCCATGGACCACGACAAGAGCTTTGCAAATACAATCCTTCCCCTCTCTTTTTTACAGCCTGAGAAACTAGGGAGGGTCCCTTCTGAGCTTCTTACCCCTTTCAATATCCAGGTGCAGAATATGGAGTCTCTTATCTGGCCATTCCCTTGGCTGTGTCTCTTTTTCTCATCCCCCAAGGTCCTTCTCACCTACCCCTAAAAGAATTCTTGCAAGTCTGAAAGTATAATTCTCCCGCGGTCTCTTTTACAGCCTGATAAACTAGGGAGGGTCCCTTATGAGTCTCTCTCTCCATCCATTATTCAGCTGCGGGCTCAGCTGCCTGTTCCCTTGGTTGTGTCTTTTTCCCTGGTGTCCCAAGGTCTTTCCCACTTACTACAAGAACCTTGCAAGTGTGAAAATACAATTCTCCCGCCGTCTCCTTTACAGCCTGAGAAACTAGGGAGGGTCCCTTCTGAGCTACTTTCTTTGCCCGTTATTCAACTGTGAGTTACGCTGTTTCTTCTCTGCCTGTTCCCCGTGGCTGTGTCTCTTTTCCTCTATCTCCCACATACTATTACAAGAATCTTGCAAGTCTGAAATTACAATTCTCCCGCCGTCTCCTTTACAGCCTGAGAAACTAGGGAGGGTTCCTTCTGAATTTCTCGCCCCTTCTATTATCCAGCCCTGGGCTCCGCTGACTCTTATCAGACTGTCCCGTCGGCAGCGTCTCTCCTCCTCTCTCCCAAGGCCTGTCTGTCACATCATTACCGCATGACAACTTCATGGCATCATTCCGCCACCCAGCTCTCCTTGATGACACAGAGCTGCGTTTTCCCTCCTGGCACCCACAGGTGGCACTGTGCGCTCAGAGCGCTCTTGGCATCTCCAGGCGCAAAGGATTGTGGGAAAATCTCGAGCTGGCCTCTGAACCTTTGACAGCTGTTTCCGAAATGGAGCTTTACAGCCCCACCCCACCCCTTTGAACGTTGCCGTGGCAACGGAGAACAACAAAGGAGGCTAGGTGTAGACTGAGCGTGCTCCTACAGGCTTTTCAGGACGGGAGTGTCTGTTGACTCTCTGCATGAGTCACTGTTCTGAGCTTTTTATCGGTTCAGCTGGCCAGGTTTACTCATCCCAGCTGTTCCCCGGATTCGCAGGGCTGGGCTTCTAAAAATACAAGCAAGTCCTCGACTTACGGCCACAATTGAGCCCAACTTTTCTGTTGTTAAGCGAGACACTTGTTGAACGGGTTTTGCCCCACTTTGCGACCTTTCTCGCCACAGTCGTTAAGTGAATCTTTCTTCCCCGTTGACTTTGCTAGTCAGAAGGTCGCACAAGGGTATCACGTGACCTTGGGACACACACACACACAGTGACCGTCATAACTACGAAACCAGTTGCCAAGCCTCCAAATTTGGATCCCGTGACCACGGGGATCCTTTCGTGCCTGAGGCTAGAACTATTAATTCCCTGTCTCCTGGTTTCTGCAGCTGTCATAAACCTGACTCAGTTATGAAGCCCCCCCAAATTTTGATGACGTGACGGTGGGGAATGCTGCGACGGTCATTAAGTGTGAAAAACAGGCCTAAGTCCCTTTTGCCAGCGCCGTCGTAACTTTGAACGGTCACTAAATGAAGTCGAGGACCACCTGTACCTTTTAAAGGTAAAGGTTCCCCTTGCACGTATGTGCTAGTCGTTCCCGACTCTAGTGCCTTTTAAATACTTTTAAATCTTTTAAATAATTTTTAATAATTAAAAAAACACTTTTTAATCTGTATCTTTTAAAGAAACCTAAAAATACTAACTTCTCAAAACAAATCTAAAACCTGCCTTTTAAAAGAAACCTTTAAAAAACATTTTTAAGAAAAAAATCTAAAGAATGCGTTTTAAAAAAATCTAAGCAAAACCCTAAAAACTAAAACACCCCATTAAAATCTCTTTTCAAAACCACCTTTAGAAGAGTATAATACATTTTCTCTCTCTCTCTCATTTTCTCCATCCTCCCCCCCCCGCGCCTCCCCCCAAACCTGGTCGGGGGGGGGGTGTCTTGCAATTCCCCACCTTGTGGTGGTCCCATCCTCCTCCCCTCCCCAGTTTTCCACTCGCTGCCCAAGCTTGTCTCGTTGGGTGTGTTGGGCAGCGTTTGTTTCGTGTGAATGCAAAAGCCGACACTCGCTTGCTGGGGAAGTGGGGGCGGGAGAGACATAAAATACCCTTGGGGGGGGTTGGCTTTCTCCAGCTCTGAGTCCCCCCACCACCACCCCAGCCTTGGCTTTGCAAGGGCCCAGTCCAGACGGTTTCCCACCCACCCCACCGCCCCCAGCTGCAGCTGGCACGATTGCGCAGCGCCTCCCCACGGCCAGCTAGCCTCTCCAGCTGCCTCCGGAAGCTTCTCCCCCCTTTCTCCCTCCACCAGCTAAAATCCCTGCTAAGCCCCGGAGCCAAGCTTCCAGCCTCCCCCCCCTCCTCATCCTTTGCATGCCAGCCAGGGGGAGGGGGTCTTCCCAAGCCGGCCGCTGGGGGAGCACCGGAGACAGCGGCAGGAGCCACCAAGCCGGCGCGTAAAAACGCAGCAAGGGCCGGGTGCGATTAAGGCACCCGGCCAGAGACGGCTGCAAGCTCGGGCAGGCAAAGCAGGCGGAGATCCGTCTGGCTCAGCTGTCGGCTGCCCTGCCTGCCTGCCTCCTCCCCTACCCCCCCCCATCCCAATTGCCGCCGCTGAGTCAAGCCGCAGCCCCATCCAGAGCGCTGCGCCCGCGCGCGCCCCTGGCCAAGCGCCACCGCTTCTTTGCCGGGCCAGGTGAGTCTGGGGGCTGCTTTGCTTTCCGCTTCCCCTCCGGGCCTTTGTTCGCCTGCCCGCGGCCTGCCATAGGCTCACCGGCGCTGAAAGCCGGGAAGGGTGGGTGGGGGGGAAAGAAAGGGTGGCGGAGGGCCTAGAGGAGGTCGTGGAGAGGAGGAGCGGGGGGTCTTCCAAGATCAGGCGCGTCGGGGGAACGCGGGTTAGCTGGAGAGAAGCGATTCAGAGCTCGCAAGGAAGCAGACCGGGGAGTTTTTTTTGGGGGGGGGGGGTCCTGAGACGGGGGTCTCTGTTCTCCCACCCACCCTCAAATAAACCTGGATTTTCCCGTGCATGGTTTGGGTTTTGAAATGGGGAGGGGGGTTTAGATGGCTGGCAGGAAGGAAGGAAGGCAGCGTCACCAGAGGCTGTCTGGACAGGTTGGGGAGACAGGGGTCTCCTCCACCCCAGCGGAGGAAGAAGCCGGGCAAGGGTAGGGGGTCGTGGAGAGGGGGCTCCCTTGCACCTATCGCGGGCGTCGGGGGAAACGCGAGTTTTTGGGGTGCTGGGAAGGGGGGGTCTCCTTCTGGACACCTCAATCTGTCTCTCAACCCCCTCCCCCCCAATTTTTTTTTTCTGGGTTTGAAGTGAGGAGGGGGGGTAGATGGGTCTTTCAAGGCTGGCTGGCTGGCAGGAAGGAAGGCAGCGTCACCCACCGGAGGCTGTCTGGGCAGGTTGGGTGCCCTCCACTCCACCCTTTGCTCCACAGGGTTAAAGCCCGGTGTGGGGGCTGGGGGAGAGGAATTCAGATTTTATTGGCAACTAAAGAGAGCAGACACCCCCTCCCTCTTTCTGTTAGAATGGGATTTGGGAATTCTGCCCAGGCTGCTTTGAAAAAAATCTCCTTCCGAAGAAGGAAGCAGCCGGCTGGGAAAAACCAAAAGCAAAAAATAAAAATAAATAAAAATTGGAGGATCAACCAAGAATTCAGATTTTGTTTCAAATTTTACAAGCGTGCCAGGCGATGGAGGATGCTTTAAGTTCCAAAATCGGGAGTTGGGGGGGCTGTCTGATCTGGATTGGCTGGGAAAAACTGAATTTTGAAAGGGGGGGGAAATATGGAGGAATTTTGGCAAAAGGTGCTTATGATTGACCTGGATGACTGAGAATCTCTATAGAAATTTGGGCAAAGTGTTTTGGCCCTGCGTGTAATGTGTTGTGTTGTGTTGTGTTGTGTTGTGTTGTGTTGTGTTGTGTTGTGTTGTGTTATGTTATGTTATGTTATGTTATGTTATGTTATGTTATGTTATGTTATGTTATGTTATGTTATGTTATGTTATGTTATGCTATGCTATGCTATGCTATGCTATGTCATGTTATGTTGCCCTGTTCTCCGTTCTGTTCCATTCCATTCCGCTATGCTATGCTATATTTTATTTTGTATTAAAATGTGGCCAAAAATATATCTTGATCCTGCCATATTTTCAGTGGTGGGATTCAAATAATTTAACAACCGGTTCTCTGGCCTAATGACCAGCTGGGTAACATGGCTTGGTGGTCATGTGACCATGTGGGCATGGCCAACTCAACGTCACTCACGTCGATGGGCGCTTCGCCTGAGCTGTTACAATGTAATAAGGGTTAACCGTAGAGGCAGTTTCTGTAAGCAGGGCAGTAAAGATTAGGCTAGAAACACCAGCAGAACATTTCCTTCCTGCCTTCCTTACAGGATTAGCCCTGTAAAGTGGAAAAAAACAAAATGAGATTTCTTCCAACAACTGGTTCTCTGAACTGCTTAGAAAGTTAACAACCGGTTCTCCCGAATAGGTGCGAACCGGCTGAATCCCACCACTGCATATTTTATATTACTTCATTTATAGGCAGTCCTCGACTTACGACCACAATTGAGCCCAAGATTTCTGTTGCTATGTGAAACATTTCTTAAGTGGGTTTCGTCCCCATTTTACGACCTTTCTTGCCGCAGTTGTTAAGTGAATCACTGCAATTGTTAAATGGATCTTGAAAACAGTGACCTACAACCATTTTTCACACTGAACAATTGTTGGAGAATCTTCACAGTCGCGTGATCAAAATTCGGCCGCTGGGCAACCGACTCGTATTTATGATGGTTGCAGTATTCCCGGGGTCATGTGATCCTCTTTTGCAACTTCCTGACAGGCGGAGTCAAGGGGGCAAGCCGGATTCGCTTAAGGACCAGTTACTAACTTAACTGCAGTGATTCCCGTAACAACTGTGGCAAGGAAGGCCGTAAAATGGAGCAAAACTCGCTTAACAACGGTCTCGCTCTGAAATGTTGGGCTCCATCGCTGTCATAAGTCGAGGACGACCTGCAACGAAAGGCCTCAGGGGTGCAGTTACAAAGGTCTTGAGTGTCGAGTGTCGGATTAGAGAGAGCTGGGTGAAGCGAGGGGTTGGGGGTGGGGATCAAACTCGCAAACGCCACAAATTGGGACACAGCCGCTTCAAATCCTGGAGCAGGCTCTGCACTGAGCATGGGGATGGACTAAATGGCCTCTGAGGTTCCTCCCAGCTTATGGTTGGGGGGGTGCTTTCTAAGTAGTGGAAAACCCGAGAGGTTGGAGCTGAGTTCTCGAGGGCTGCGCGATCAGTGGATGGAGCTGTATGCAAGGGAGTGCTTCCTTTATTTGAACATCGGGGGAAGCCGCTTCCTTCACAGAGATCCATAATTTGCTCGCAAGAGAATGCCTCTTGCTTCACTAGCCGGCAATTTTATTTTGCCTCCTTCGCCCATCTGCAAGATCATTTCTCCTCCTTCGGATGTCTGCAAGAGAATGCCTCTCCTTTCCCTTTTCTGCGAGAAGAATTTCCTTTCTTATCTCTGGGAGAATGCCTCTTCTTTCTCGCGCCTGCGAAATAATTTTTCGTGCTTCTCATGTCCGCGAGGGAATGCCTCTTCCTTCTTGTGTCTGTGAAATAATGTCTCCTGCTTCTAATTTCCGCGAAAGAATGCCTCTTCTTTCTCGTGTCTGTGAAATAATGTCTTCCTGCTTCTCATTTCCGCGAGAGAATGCCTCTTTCTTCTTGTGTCTGTGAAATAATGTCTCCTGCTTCTAATTTCTGCGAGAGAATGCCTCTTTCTTCTTGTGTCTGTGAAATAATGTCTCCTGCTTCTCATTTCCGCGAGAGAATGCCTCTTTCTTCTTGTGTCTGTGAAATAATGTCTCCTGCTTCTAATTTCCGCGAAAGAATGCCTCTTCTTTCTCGTGTCTGTGAAATAATGTCTCCTGCTTCTCATTTCCGCGAGAGAATGCCTCTTTCTTCTTGTGTCTGTGAAATAATGTCTCCTGCTTCTCATTTCCGCGAGAGAATGCCTCTTTCTTCTTGTGTCTGTGAAATAATGTCTCCTGCTTCTCATTTCCGCGAGAGAATGCCTCTTTCTTCTTGTGTCTGTGAAATAATGTCTCCTGCTTCTAATTTCCGCGAGAGAATGCCTCTTTCTTCTTGTGTCTGTGAAATAATGTCTCCTGTTTCTAATTTCCGCGAGAGAATGCCTCTTCCTTCTCGCGCCTGTGAAATAATGTCTCCTGCTTCTCGTGTCTGTGAGAGAATGCCTCTCCTTTCACTTCTGTGCAAGATCATTCTTCTTTCTTCTTATATCTGCGAGAGAATGCCTCTTCCTTCATTTGAATACCCTTCAGAAGCCTTGCTCTGTTTATCCCTATAGACCAGAGGTGGAATTCAGCCGGTTCGGACGAATCGGTAGTGGCGACCTGCAGGCGAAATCCCGTCCCATATCGCTGTGGTTTTGACGTCACATGCATGTCCGGACGGCGTGCGTGAGCGAATTGCCATGTTTTGTGATGCCGCATGAATGCGTGGATGGCGCATGGTCACATTTCCGGTGCCGGCAAACCGGTTGCGACAGTATGTGAAGCTATAGGCCAAACAGATCCATGGGCCAAATTTCTATAACTAACTTTTCCTTAACTTGGAAAGGGGTCTAAAAATAAGTCGTCGTCCCCCCCGCCCCACTCCGGGAGGATTATAATTCGTAAACCGCCATCTTCCCTTCTCTCCTGTCTTCTCTGCCCCTCCTCTCCAGGTCTGTCACCACGCCAAATGTGAGCAGCTCAATCACCACAGCCCCCTGCACCTGTGCGAGGAGTGCGACGGGCAGATCCACGGGGCGATGCACTTTGACCGACATATCCGCTTCGACCTTCCGCCTCCAGGTGACCACCGAGGCCTAGCGGGGCCTGGTTCTCACGCACGGCACTCTCTACTTATTGATTTGTCCAATTTTAAGTGATTTTTAAGTGACCACAGAGAGCGGCGTTTTTTCAACCAATTCGCCCAGAATTGTTAGTTTACGAGACAGGCATTCAACACATAAATAAATAAACCTTGCCTGCTTTAAAACGGATGGACTTCAACTCCCAGAATTCCCCAGCCAGCCGTGCCCGTTTTTTCTGTTTCTTACTCCCTAGAGCAGAGAGATTGCAGCAGAAGGGATTACAAGAGAATAAGTATGTCTCTACTTCCTGCAGTGGCGAGATAGCAGAGGAAGGGATTACAAGAGAATAAGTATGTCTCCACTTCCTGCAGTAGCGACATTGCAGAGGAAGGGATTACAAGAGAATAAGTATGTCTCCACTTCCTGCAGTGGCGAGATTGCAGAGGAAGGGATTACAAGAGAATAAGTATGTCTCCACTTCCTGCAGTAGCGACATTGCAGAGGAAGGGATTACAAGAGAATAAGTATGTCTCCACTTCCTGCAGTGGTGAGATTGCAGAGGAAGGGATTACAAGAGAATAAGTATGTCTCCACTTCCTGCAGTGGGAGATTGCAGAGGAAGGGATTACAAGAGAATAAGGAAAGGAATGCATCATCACCAGGGAATTCTGGGAATTGAAGTCCGCTCATCTTAAGATAGTCAAGGTTGAGAAGCACTGATGTAGAGATGCCAATTGGTACGATGCGGGATTTGCACCCGATGCAGAATTCTGCCCATGCCTCGGAAGAAGTGAGCCGCCGTTTGTCGGCTCACTGAGTCGAAAGTAATGTGGCCGGATAGGGAATCTCTCGGAGGGAAGAGTAACGTGTGAAAGGGACTCCGAGTCCCAATGCAGGGATTAACCGGCCCGTAACTCTTAATCCTCAGGGTCTATCCTGGCGCGTAACGTCTCCACCCGGTCCTGCCCGCCACGCACTAGCCCCGCCTCCGATGTGGAAGAGGATGACGAACCGCTGATTGACGGGAGAGGGTGAGTGTAGGGAAGAGCCATTCAGCAGACACCCCCGCACTTCAGAAAGCTAGCTCCTCAGGGTCAGCCGATCTCATTTCCTGGAGATCTAGCTTTCAGAAGGCATGGAAAGATAGTGATCTATATATCTATATATTTCTCTGCCAGAGACGCTGTGTTGTAACCCCAATTCCGTTTTCTTCCTTGTTTCTTGCAGAGAAAAACGAAATTTAGCTCGAAAGCCCAAGAAAGGAACAAGGAGACATACGGACGTAAGGCTGCCGATCGTACCTTCCTTCTATCCAGAATCTATAAATAGATACCGTTTAGCAATTTTTGAATGGGATCCAGAGGCCAAACGGCAGCTCTTGCAAGATTGTCAAGTCGATAGGGCCCCCTCAGAGGTCATCCAGTCCAACCCCGCCCTTCTCAGTCCAACCTATTCCTCCTGTAATGTCTGTCACCTCTTTCAGCTTCTGAGTCGCCTGTAAAAAAGCAGAAGCCTGGTTTAGCTCAACAGACAGAAGCACTGTAATTTAACACCAGCTGTCTGCAATTAAAGTAAGATCGAATCTCGCCAGGCTCAAGGTTGACTCAGCCTTCCATCCTTTCTAAGGTAGGTAAATTGAGGACCCAGTTTGTGGGGGCAATAAGCTGACTTTGTATAAAATATACAAAAGTACGAAGGCTATTGCTTAACGCACTGTAAGCCGCCCTGAGTCTCCGGAGAAGGGCGGCGTATAAATCAAATTAAAAAAAAAAAAAGAATACAGAATCACAGTTGGAAGGAACCTCAGAGGTCTTCTAGTCCAACCCCCTGCTCAAGAAGCAGATCGTTTGACGTTTAATTCCGCGCTAAATCCTTGCTTGTCAAAGTGGGGCACTTTCAGACGGGTGGACTTCAACTCCCAGAATTCCCGAGCCAGCCAGCTGTGGAATTCTGGGAGTTGAAGTCCATCCGTCTTAAAGGGGCCACGTTTGCAAAACACTCTGCTAAACGAATCTGTGTAAGACATCATCTTAAAAAAAAAGAGACTACTTTAAAAACCACTTTAAAAACACATTAAAAACCCAACTTACCAACTTAAGAAAAAAAAGTTATATTTCTTCTCCAGGATCCCAGCAGGGAATATTTCACTCTGAAATTTGATTTGAACGTGGACGTCGAAACGGAGATTGCCCCAGCCATGAAGAAGAAATCTTTAGGGTGAGAACGGTTTCCGTGTCGTAATTCCGTGACCTGCTGCCCCGTCAAATATTTCCGAATGATTCTATAGGTAGTCCTCGACATGCGACCGTTCGTTTAGTGACCGAACTTTCAGCGGCACTGAAAAAAAAATAAGTTGGCACTGTTTTTCACACTTATGGCCGTTGCAACATCCCCACAGTCACGGGATCAAAATTCAGACAGTTGGAAACTGACTCGCATTTACGACGGTCGCAGCGAGCCTCTTTTCTGACCTCCCGACAGGCAAAGTTTCAACGGGAAAGCCGGATTCGCTTTACGACCTCGTTACTAATTTAACGACGGCAGCGATTGCACTCAGCCACGGGGGGCAAGAAAGGTCTGAGTTGCTCAAGAAATTTGGCTTTGTTTAGCAACGGAAATTTCAGCCCCAGTGGCGGTCGTTAAGTCGAGGACTGCTTGTACATTTCCTAAATAAAATAAAACATTTATTAAACATCTTTGCTGCCCATCTCATATCGAAACGACTCTAATCCATTAATTAATCATGGATAAAAAATATGCATCGATTACCCCATAAATGAGCGATAAATAAAATGAATACATTAATACATTTAAAATAATAATAAATGAAAAGTGCATGTTTTCACATGGGAGTTTGAGTCCGATATTCTTTGGGGGGCAGATATCTGTCGAGCGCTGTCACCTGTTGAATTTCTGCCTGTTTCTATTTGGACAATCCAGGGAGGTTTTGCTTCCAGTCTTCGAACGGAAAGGCATCGACCTGTCGAAAGTAAACATTTATTTGGACCAGTCCAACACCCCACTGTCGCTCAACTTTGAAGCCTATCGCTTCGGAGGACATTACCTGCGTGTGAAAGGTAACACCGGGATTCGATCCACGAGCTTAACCTCACAACGGGTAGTCCTTGATTTACGATGGGTCGCTTAGAGTGGACTTCAACCCCCAGAATTCCCCAGCCAGAATTCTGGGAGTTGAATTCCACCCATCTTCAAAGTTGCCAAGTTTTGAGAAACTGCTCTACGAAAAGGAAGGAAAAATCAAGCTGGATGTTTTTCCGAGCGTGGTGAAACTGACTAGATCATGTTACTGTTTGGCCCCCAAAAACTGGGAAATATCCAGAGACGGTGGGAGAGAAACGATGGATTTAGCCAGCCATTTCTAGCCAGAGGATTGTGATCAAGGACTGTCGATCATCATTTCTCTCCCGCCGCCTCAGTATTTTCCAATTTTCGCCCAAACAGAAACGTGATCTAGTCAGTTTCACCTTGCCGGAAGAAACGATGTCACCACAATATTGAATGATTCCCCCTGGGACAGATCCGGAGGGCATCTGCTTGGAGAACCGAGTAGGACAAGGACCCATATTTGCAGCTGCCCCCAAGTAGGCCGCTAGGAAGCGGCTTTCGCAGGAAGTGGCCCACATAAACCATGTTTTCCTTTTCTCTGTTTCAGCCAAACCAGGAAATGATCTCAAGGTGGAAGAGGGGGTGAAGGACAGCAAATCCCTGAGTTTGCCCATCCTGCGCCCAGCGGGCATCAGCCCCTCCTTCCTCGCCACCCCGTCTTTGGATCGACTGGAGCAAATCTCGCTTCGACGAGAGAGTACGGACGCCGGGGTGAGTTGGGGGACAGGTGTGGGGTGGCCTCCCCATGTCTAAAAACAGATGAATCAGGGACTGACCCGTCAGGGAGAAAGAGTTGCATTCAGGGTTGCTGTCTGGGGAATGGACTACCTTGTCTGGATGTTGTTCCCTTCTCAGGCCGAGGTGGAGAATGCCTCCGTTGGGAAGATCTATCAAACATTTCAGGAGTTAAAAGTCCAATTCAAGTTGCCACGGTTAAGAAACTGCTCTACCAGCGAGGAAAAACAAGCTGGAAATTTCTACCAGCGTGGTGAAACTGACTAGATCATGTTTCAGATGGTTACAATTGGTCCCAAATTGGACAATCTCAAGATGGTGGGAGAGAAACCATGAGTTGCAGTCATCTGTTTAGCTTCATTGGGGAAGGGAGCAATGAGGGGTGAACCGTACAGGTAGTCCTCGATTTACGACTGTTCCTTCAGCAAACGTGGCAGAAATGGACGCGCTGGTTGAACTTTGCGTCTCCCTGAGAGAAAAACCTTCTTTGTACTGGACAAACCAGGATGGAATCACTCCTCCCCAATGAGAAAGGAAGGTTGCTCTTTATGCCTGTTATTTATTACCACCAGCCAGCAGGTGGCAGCACACAACCAACTTTGACTGATTCTGGAAAACTGGCAGGAAGTTGTTAAATGCTGGGATGGAAGACCAACAGGAGATCCCTGAATTGAAGACCTGGGCCAGGAGGTTAAAAGAAAGCCGTGACAACTCACTTCCTTAGGATTCCTAAAATGGATGGGTGGGTCCCAGAGTTCGAATCAAGAGAGGTGGTGTTATTTTATTTTGAATTTAAATTTGATTGGATTTTTATCGTATATTTCATTTTGATTTTTTTAATTTGTTTGATTTTACCTTGAGTTTATATTTTATTTTATTTTCAATTTATATTTGATTTTATTTTTAATTGATATTAATTTTATTTTCAATTTATATTTTTTTCATTTGATTTTCAATATATTTAAATTTATCTTTGTATTTAACTTATCTTTCATTTTATCTTTTATTCATTTTTAACTAATATTTAATTTTTGTTTTATTCACTTTTTCTTTATATTTAATTTATACTTAACTAATATTTTATTTTAATTTATATTTCACTTATTTTTTACTTTTATTTTTCATTTATGCTTACTTTTACCTTTTAACCTTTATTTTTGATTGACATTTAGTATTTTATTTTATTTATTTTATTTTATTTTATTTTATTTTATTTTATTTTTTATTATTATTTTATTTTAAAAACAGAGCTTTTTGCTTGCCCTGTGCTACAACTCCAGGTGACCTCCAACATTTTGGGCCTTGGCTTAATTCAGCCTATTGTCCATTTACTTAAAAGGCTTCTGATTATTTGCGATTCAAGCCAAAAGGACAAAAATTACAATCTAGTGCAAGAGAAAAAACATATATATTCAGAAGTTACTTGTCGTTGCCTCTTAGGTGAGCCGTTTGGTTCCTATTATTTGGACAGTAAATAAATTCTTTTGAGTGATTGATGGGCATATATCAGATCCCTGTCGCTGCTCCAGAGCCTGAACTTTGGAGTCGTTTACAAGTTCTCTACCCTGCCCAGTTCCCCCAAGAACCAGGAAGTGCCAACACCTTGCCAGCCTGGTGCCCGTTTGAAAATCTGTACTCCGCCTGCATCGACCGAGCCTTTGCCAGGTGAGCTTCTCATCGTTTTGCATCTGAGCCGCTCTACTCTATCGGATGCCTTTTTGAGTAAAACGAGGCTGCTAAAACCCATCATCCTCCCCACTTAAGATCTTTTGAATTGTCCCCCTCTACTGAGTTCGGATTCAGAGCTGCGACGTCTCGGCCCAAACTCTCAAAAAGACAATTTGCTCTCCGCTGTTTGGACGCTGGAAAAACAAATTCCTTCGTCGAAAATCATGCGGGATTAGACAACCGAGCCATGTTCGGTCCCAAGTGGAGAAGGTGGGACCTTCCAACAAGCAGCGATTGGTCGGTGCTGCATTATGCCCGTTTCCAACATCTGCTGGATGAGCCCTTTGGCCGAAAGCTGACCGTCACACCGGGGTTTGTCGCTGCTCGAATACAGCAGTATAATTCTCAATCCAAGATCTCTGGAGTTCCTTCCCGGCTAGCAAAACCAAGCAGGGATTTTTGCCACGGTGCAGAAGAAGCCAGTCAGGGGGAGCCCGAGGGACAAGGGTGTCCATCCCGGGACAATCCACACGGTCAGCCTGGATGTTGGATACCCAAACAGTATGTAAGTCTGTATTTCCTGGGCCGTTTAGGGCTAAAAGAGATCGGAAACCTGAGTTTGCTTACTGCAGCAGAACCCGAGCGTCGTGAAGCTGCTACAAAGTTAACCGACATTAAACCAGCTTTGCATGACACAGGGGAATGTGGCTTCTAGGTTTTTCAATGAGCTGGTCACGGGCGTTGTGTGAATCCAATTTACGTGGGCTGACCCAGGTCGCTGTCGTTGTCTTTTTTTTTTTAATCAAGGATGAGCCAAATTTGGCTTGCTTTGTGCAAATTGCAATTTCCTATTCATCACTGGGATAGTTTCAGTATTTTTATTTATTTATTCCTCGTCTTCCTTCCTTCCTTTGTTTTTTCTCTTCCTTTCCTCTCCTCCTCTCTCCCTTTCTCCCTCCCTCCCTCCTTTTCTTTTTCTTTTTCTTCCTTCCTTTCCTCTCTTCTTTCATTTCCTTCCTCCCTCCCTCCTTCCTTCCTTCCTTTCTTTTTTCTTTCTTTCTCTTCCTCCCTCCCTCCCTCCCTCCCTCCCTCCTTTCTTTCTTTTTCTTTCTTTCTTTTCCTTTCCTCCTCTCTTCTATCCTCTTCTCTCCTCTTTCACTTCCTTCCTTGTCATTCATTCATCCACCCATTTTTCAACCAAGTTTGGGGGTCTGCCAATCAAAGCTTAAAAGACACATCAAATCGTTTTAAAATAAAACTCAAGCTGACTAAAACATTTTTTTTAAATTTTATTTTGTGGTCCCCTGTGCTCTTTTCAGCCACCCGTCATCCGTCCTGGGCCTCTTTCTCTTTCTCTCTCTCTCTTTCTTTCTCTCTCTCTCTTTCTCTTTCTTTCTCTCTCTTTCTTTTTCTCTTTCTCTCTTTTTCTTTCTCTCGCTTTCTCTTTCTTTTTCTTTTTCTCTTTCTCTCCCTTTCTCTTTCTCTCTTTCTCTTTCTCTTTCTCTCTCTCTCCTTCTCTTTCTCTCTTTCTCTCTCTCTCTGGGCCCGTGTGATATAATTTTTCATTTCTTCGTTTGTGTCAGAGGACATAGTTCGTTCCGTTTGCTTTATGGTTCTTTAGATAAACAGGGATGGTTTTACAACTTGTCAACCTGTCAGTTTTTATCATTTTATGGTTCTTTGAAACCCTTTGAGTTCAGAATACAGGAGAAGAGTGTTGGAAGGGACCTTGGAGGTCTTCTAGTCCAACCCCCAACGATACTGAAAAGAGTAACTTAGAACCGTTTTTTCACACTTACGACCGACCGTTCCAGCATCCCAATGGTCACATGATCAAAATTCAGACACCTGGCAACTGACTCGCATTTATGACGGTCGTAGCGTCCCGGGGGGTGCATGTCACGTGATTCCCTTCGGCCACATTCTGACAAGCGAAGTCAACAGGAAAGCCTGATTCACTTAACAACCGTGTTCCTAACTTATCAACGGCAGTGATTCGCTTAGCAACCGTGGCAAGAGAGTTCCCAAAACTCACTTACACGACGGTCTCGCTTAGCAGCAGAAATTTCGGGCTTGCTTGTGGTCGTAATGCGAGGACTCCCCATTTTTTTTTTTTCTTGGAAATAAAAGGAGGGGTTTTTTTTTCCGGAGAGGACTTCATCTCTGTAACGTTATAATTTTATATTTCCTCTTTTTCGCTCTGCTCCTGCGTTCAGTTGCACGATTGTATTGATCCAGGCATGAAATAAACTTTGCTGTGTAAATTTGTCGAAGGAGCAAAACCAAAGGGGCACTCCCTTTTTTTCTTTTCTTTTTTTGGACGTGGCAAGCAAGCAAACAAACATCAACCCCAAAAATTCAGAGACCGGAACCCAGGCAGAAGTAAACTTCCCTGCAGGATGACTGGGAACCCTGCATGTGGAAAGCTAGCTCTGCAAGGAGAGTCTTTGCATTGCATCCTCTTTCTCCAACCACTTCATCTTCTGCTTGCAAGGATGGTTGAAATTACATCTGATCCTATATAAGAGAGGGGAATTCACACAAGGCTGGCTGGGGAATGATGGGAGTTGAGGTTCTTGCAAGCATTCTGGCTGGGGAATTCTGGGAACGGAAGTCTTTATAATCTAGTTGGGGATTTCTGGGGGTTGAAGTCCTCACGTTTAAATTTTGAGACTGAAAAACTATCGTTTATATAACTGGTTGAATATCTAAGTAGGTTATATATTTGTAAATGTATAACTAAATGAAATCAATATTTAAATAGATAATATAAATGTTATGATGTGATTGGTAGGTAGGTAGGTAGATAGATAGGAAACATTAGATAGATGATTGATAGATAGATACATAGATGATTAGATAGATAGATAGATAGATAGATAGATAGATAGATAGATGATTGATAGATGGATGATAGATATAGAGACGTTAGAGATAGATGATTGATGGATGATAGATGATAGATAGATACATAAATAGATGGTATAGATAGATGATAGATAGATAGATGATTGATAGTAGATAGATACATAGATGATTAGATAGAAAGAAAGAAAGAAAAAGAAAGAAAGATAATCTTATTTTTAGGAACAAATGGGTTTATACTTGAGTAAAATTAAATTAGATAAATATATGAAATATATATATAAATAAACACATAAATGCTATTGTGATGTGTAATATACCTTTTTTTGAAACAAAGGTTTATGTACTTGAGTAAAATTTAAATTAGATAAATACAGGCAGAATTGTAACTGTTATAACAATATTATTTTTTTTAGATACAAATTCCTGCGTACTTGAATAATATTTACATTAGATAAAGTTATAGGCAGAATTGTAACTGTTGTAACTATATATTTTTTAAAGAAACAAATTTGTCTGTACTTGAATAATATTTACAATAGATAAGTTATGGGCAGAATTGTAACTTATAACAATATTATATTCTTTTTCTGTTATGTGTTTCCTTTTACACTTTTTTTTTATAAAGACACTTTCAATATGTTTCCTTTTAAAAGAAGCTTTGCACCAATGCATTACAATTATTCCTTTTTTAAAATTCTTTTTATTTGTTCTTCCCTTACAATCAACCAACCAACCAACAGAGAGCGGGGGGGGAAAAAATGTCAGATTAATTAATAAAAAGCTAAAATGCAGAGAAACTACATATGCTCCACTTTGGAGCGGTGTCTGGCTTTGAAGCTGTAACACGCTAGCCATCATCGTGGGTTGAAAGGAAGGCTTAGCAAAGGAGGGGGGCTTTTTCCCACCAGCATCCAAACAACAAACCAACAATGATGGTTTGAGTTTATCGGCTCCGGTTTGCAAAAGATGCGGCTACCCAGATTGGAAGTTTGATTTTTTTTTTTGTTTCTAATTCCCATTTTTGCCCCCACCCCCCATCTGTCTGCCTCTGATCCCCCCACTTAATTCTTTCTGCCCCCCACCCAAACCCCCTTTGCAGGGCCCTGGACGTCAAAGGAAGAACATGAATGAATTTCTCGGTGATGCCAGGATCCCAAATCCGGACCTTTTGCCTCCCGCGGCCCCTTCCCCGGTCCCCAACGGGCCGGACACGCGGAAGAACCGAGGGGCCAGCCGCTTCAGCGGCTTCTTCGGGTCGGGCAACAGCGCCAGCTCCTTCGCCAGGGTGCGTCCCCCGCTTTATTGCCAGCCTGCGCCCCAAGTTTATTCCACTGCCAAAAAAAAAAAGAAAGAAAAAGGATTTTGATCCCTTCCTGGAAGGCATTTGCCTGGGTCTTTTTCTCCTCCCGAGATAGAGCCTCCTTGTGCAAGAGCAGTCTATCAGGAAATAGCAATGGGTTGGGGAAGTGCAGTTGGAGGCAGGAGGAATTGGGTCCTTTGGGCTTTTTGGAGGGGAGGGAGGGAGGGAGACGAGAGAAGGGAAGGGAATTAGGCAAAAGAGGGAAAAATACAAGGGAAGAGGAATTTAGTTTCTAGGTGAAGGGAATTTCCTTCCTTTCTTCTCTTCCTCCCTCCCTTCCCTATTTTTTCCTTTCTTCCCTCCCTCCTTCCTCCCTCCCTCCCTTCCCTATTCTTTTCCCTCCTTCCCCCCTTCCTTCCTTCCTTCCCTACCCTTTTCCTTCCTTCCTTTCTCCCTCCCTTCCCTATTCTTTCCCTTCCTTCCTTCCCTCCATCCCTACCCTTTTCCTTCCTCCCTCCCTTCCCTATTCTTTTCCCCCTTCCTCCCTTCCCTATTCTTTCCCTCCCTCCCCTTTTCCTCCCTCCCTCCCTTCTTTCCCTATTCTTTTCCCTCCTTCCTTCCTCCCTCCCTCCTTCACTCCATCCCTTACCCCCTTTCTTCCTTCCATACCCTTTTTCTTCTTTCCCTCCCTCCCTTCCTTCTTCCATCCATCCATCCCTTCTCCAGTATGGCTCTCTCTCAGCCCCCCCCCTCTCTGTCCCCCCGCAGGAGCTGGACAAGACGGAACAGTTGGAGAGCAAGCTGCAGTCCTACGGCCTCTTCGGCCTCCCCCGGCTGCCCGACCAGCTGCGCTTCGACCAGGACTCCTGGGAGGACGGAGAGGAGGAGGACGAGGCCGGCCTTCGGATGGAGGACAGCTGGCAGCAGATCATCCAGGGCACCGAGGTGGGCTTTCTTTCCTTCCTTCCTTCCTTCCTTCCTTCCTTCCTTCCTTCCTTCCTTCCTTCCTTTCTCTGCTCCCTTTCTTTTCTTCTTTCCTTCCTTCCTTCCTTCCTTCCTTCCTTCCTTCCTTCCTTCCTTCCTTCCTTCCTTCCTTTCCTTTCCTTTCCTTTCCTTTCCTTTCCTTTTTCTACAAGGCGACTAAGATTTAAATCTAATCATGGTTTGTTTCCAGGCCTTGACGCGACGCCAGTGTCACCAGCAGGAAGCGATTTGGGAGTTGCTACACACCGAAGCGTCTTACATCAAGAAACTGAAAGTCATCACGGATGTAAGTCCGGAGTTATTCCTCCAGAACCTTTCCGGTGCCCAGTGCAAATCTTACCACAGGTTTTCTCCATTCCGATCATTTAAAGCTGTGTGGACTTCAACTCCCAGAATGCCTGGCTGGGGAATTCTGGGAGTTGAAGTCCACAGACCTTAAACGTTGCTAAATTGGAGAAACACTTCTAAAGGATTAATACATTTATTTATTTATTTTCTTTCTCTCTGCAGCTCTTCCTGTGCTGTCTTTTAAATTTGCAGGATTCGGGTCTCTTGTGCGAGGTAAGCCCCCCACCCCCCTCAGCTGGGAAACAGAGGGCTCAAAGTCAGATTTCCAATTTTTGGATTAAAGAACAGAAATGTTGCGTTCAGCACAAAATCCGTGCTTATAGGCATCTAGTACAAGTAATCCTCGACTTATGACCGCAATTGAGCCCAAAATTTGTCTTAATGAGCCAGACAGTCGTTAAGTGAGTTTTGCCTCCTTTTTACAACCTGGCTTGCCAGGAGTTGTTAAGTGAAACACTGCAGTTGTGAAGTCAGCAACACGGCCGTTAAACGAATACGGTTTCTCCCTTGACTTTACTGGTCAGTAGGTCGCAAAAGGGGGATTGCGTGACCCCGGGGACTCTGCGACCGTCGTAAGTATGAGTCCGTTGGCCAAGCGTCAGAATTTTGATGGCCGCGACGGTCGTAAGTGTGACAAAGAAGGATTTGAAATTTCAATCTTGTCTTTTTTTTTTTTTAGTGCCATTGTGACTTCGAACCGTCACTAAATGAAACCACAAGGAAAAAAAAAAGAGACAAGATTGAAATTTCAAATCCTTCTTTTAACCGTCTATTATTGCATTGATCGAGATTGAAAATCTTCACCTCGAAGGGCTGAGCATGGGGAAAGGGATTTCAAAGATTTGAAAAATAGCCAGGAAGGATTTTAATTTAATTTTATTTTTTTTTTAAGAAAGGAAAAACGAATTGGCCTTAAGCTGCTTTTTTTTTTTTTTTTTGCGGGGTGGGGTGTCTCTTTCAGGTGGAAGCCGAGCGTCTTTTCAGCAACATTCAAGAAATTATTCGGGTTCACCGCAGCCTCTGGAGGACTGTCATGGCCCCCATTTTGGAGAAGGCCCGGTTGACGCAAAACTTGCTGGACCCCACCGATTTCTCCAAGGGGTTTAAGACGGTGAGGGGGAAAGAGTTAGACGGTGGGGTAGGGTCTTCCAGGCCCTTACAGTATGCTCAGAGGGCCTCTGCATTTGGAGTTGAGCTTGGAAGCGGGCCTGGGGAAGAGAAGAGTCAAGTACAGTAGCGGCCAAAATTGTGGACACCTTTTGGAAAAAGTTGTATTTTTTTTTTAATTGAAAAGTTTTACAAAAGAAAAATACAAACCCCCCCCCCCCGTGTTCTCCCCACCCTTTCCCCCCCTTCATCCCTCCCTCCCCCCGCAACTTCCCAGAGCAAAATACAAGGTATTTCATTTAATCAAACATAAACTAGATTAATCTACTTTATTCAAATTCAAATTCAAATTTACTTACTTTACTTATCCTCAAAGTACTGCCTCCCCCACTGAAACCTTAACTCCGCGACAGATAACCAAATACTTCTAATACTAACAGTCATTCATAAGCTATTTGATATTTTTTTGTCTGATACTTATTTTGAATATAATCAATCCATCTTCTTTATTCCGATACGTATCTTTCTTGCGTGTGGTCCTTCAAGTACGCCGAGATTTTCGCCATTTCTGCTAGGTTTGTTACTTTCAATATCCACTCTTCAATAGTGCCTACTATTGAAAAAGTTGTATTTTTGAGGTTTGATGGCTCATAACACCACTAATTTTTTTTTTGGAGTTTCAAGATAATCCTATTCCACTTGCTGGAATGGCCTGGGAATAGCCCTGAACCCAATGGAAAATCTATGGAGGTGACTCAAGAAACTGGTTAGTCAGAAGCGATCCAGCAATAAAACCCAGTTAATTGAAGCCATGATTCCATCTTGGTTTCACATGATAACAGCTGCAGAACTCAAAGGCTTGGTTCCCTCCGTGGGAAGACGTTGTAAGGCCGTCATTCATGTTAAAAGTTACCCAACGAAGGATTAACCGACATGGGGATCGTTTTTGCATATCTCATTTTTTCTGTGGTGATCATTTTTGTCTAGTTTTTTCTGCATATTTCACTTTTCTACTTTATACCGTAACGGCTATTCTAATAGCAACTCCTTCATAAAAGCTATGGCGTTACATTCTTGATTAAATTGTCTTTCCATGGATATATAATTTTATGGTAGTACTCCCAAAAAAAGTGGTGTTATTATATTATATTTCTCCCAAAAGGTTTCCACAATTTTGGCCACTATTGTATATAAACAGAGCAAACCCCTCTCCCTTCTAGAACTGATGATGGTCCCTAGTTGGGTCATGAGATGTCTGTAAGAAAACCATCAAATTTAGAGTATCAAGGACCCCACAATCCTCTTCCTCCTTCTCTTCTTCCTCCTCCTCCTCTCTGCAAATCTTAACTCCCTTTTAAGCACTGATGATGCTACCTAGTTGGGTCACGAGACGTCTGCAAGAAAACCACCAAGCTCGGCCAATGCTAGATAATCCCAGCTTCTGACCTCGTCCCTAAACCACGGTTAACTCTGGGTCTCTCTCCCCTCCCCCACAGTTCGGCTCCCACTTCCAGCCTTACGTCCGTTACTGTATGGAAGAAGAAGCTTGCATGGAATACATGAGGAATTTGCTGCGGCAAAATGAACTTTTTCGCCTGTATGTGACGGTAAGGAGAAGCGAGGCTGGATTGTCCCCCCCGTCCGTCCCCCTGGGCCAGTAGAGAAAGTCCTCGATTTACGACCCAATGCAGCGGAGAATCTGCCCCCATTTCGGGACTCCGAACTGGCAGGGTCTCCCTGTTTGGTGGCTCCGTTTGTGACTATTCTCTTATAATCCCTTTCTCTCGCAGTGGGCCGAGAAGCACAAACAGTGCAACCGTCTGAAGCTGAGCGACATGTTGGTGAAGCCGCACCAGCGCCTGACCAAGTACCCTCTGCTCCTGAAGTCCGTGTTGAAGAAAACCGAGGACCCCGAGGCGCGAGAAGCCATCATCGGCATGGTAAGCGGATAAACCGAGTTCTCGGATGATGGCTAGAGAGTTGGGTGGGGTGGGGGGGGGTGGGATCCTTTTGCCCACCGTTTTAACGAAACTCACCAACGCAAGCAAGGCCAAGGATCAAGAATGGATCAGGTACAAGGTACTCCTGTGCGAGCAGGGGGTTGGGTTAGATGACCTCTAGGGTACCTTCCAACTCTGTGATTTTGTAATCCCAGATCAGTTAATCTGTGGAACGTCTTGCCTTGTGGATGCTCCATCACTGGAGGTTTTCAAGAAGAGACTGGAGAGGCCATTTGCCCTGGATTGTAGAGAGTCTCCTGCCCGAGCAAGCGGGGAGGGGGGGGTTGGGCTGGATGACCTCACGGGTCCCTTCCAACTCTGTGATTCCGTAATCTGCATTTCCCACAGCCGAGAAGTGGTGTCTTGCAAAAGCTTGGTCAGCTTAATAGGAGAAAAAGTCTGAATCGTTTGCAATCCACCCCACCCGTTAACAGGACCGATCTCCTCTTACCCGGAAATAAGATGAATAAATTAGATAAGGGAGCAGATAATCTGTGCTCAAAACTTCTTTTAATCTTTCTCTTTCGCGAGGGACTGATAAGAAAAGACGAAAAAGCCTTACTGTCCTTTGATAAGCCGACTTTCTCGGTTAGGACGGAAGGTCCACCGGTGAGAATTCAGAAAGTAAGGGGGCGGGGTGAGAAACCTGGATTTTCTCACCGCCCCGAGTTAACCTAGGGAACTTCCTGCCACTGGCCACCAATTGAGAGTGGGTTGATTTTTATTTTTTATTTTTTTTAAAAAAAAAAAGTTCCTGAATCCTCTTTGCCTTCAACGCGCAAAAAAAAACCTTTTGGCAATTTTGTACTCCAAACACCAAGACGGAAAAAATTGAAGAGGCCAAATGCAATTAAGCAGCGGAAATGAATATTTCAGAGGGAGTTGAAACTGGGTGACTTTGAGCCACTCACCAGGAGACTGGGAATTCTAGTCTCTCCTGAGGCATGAATGCCAAGTGGGTGACTTTGGGCCAATCACCAGGAGACTGGGAGTTATAGTTCCTCTTTAAAGCATAAAAAGCTAGTTGGGTGACTTTGGGCCACTCACCAGGAGACTGGGAATTCTAGTCTCACCCGAGGCATGAAAGCCAAGTGGGTAACTTTGGGCCAATCACCAGGAGCCTGGGAGTTCTAGTCCCTCTTTAGGCATGAAATTTGACTGAGTGACTAGAACTTCCAGTCACTAGGAGACTGGGAGTTCTAGTCTCACCTTAGGCACAAAAGCCACCTGGGTGACTTTCGGCCAATTACCAGGAGACTGGGAGTTCTAGTCCCGCCATAAGCTTTAAAGCCGGCTGAGTGTCTTTGGGCCAGTCACCAGGAGACTGGGAATTCTAGTCTCGCCTGAAGCATGAAAGCCAAGTGGGTGACTTTGGGCCAATCCCCAGGAAGCTGGGAATTATAGTTCCTCTTTAAGGATAAAAAGCTAGTGGGGTGACTTTGGGCCGCTCACCAGGAGACTGGGAGTTCTAGTCCTGCCTCAGCCATGAGAGCTCTCAGCCCCGCTCACCTCACAGGGTTGTTGTTTTGGGGAAAATAGGCGGAAGAAGAAGCGTTATATACATTCACCACCTCCAGTTAATTGGAAAAATAAAATTAAAAAAGGCGGGATACAAATGAATAAAAATAGAATACATACATACATACATACATACATACATACATACATACATACATACATACAGCAAGAACATTGGGGAAATCTCATTTGAAAAGTGGGCTCGGTTTCACCCCCTTCCAGCTACCTGCCGATCAATCCCGAAAGCTTAGCAGAGCTTCCATGTTCCGTCGCAGTCTACCTCAGAGAAACTCAGCGAGGTTTCCTGCTGCTCAGACTCCTGAGGACAAAACGAGTGATATCCGGCTCTTCTTCCTCCGCAGATCAACGCAGTGGAGCAGTTCATCAACCACGTCAACTCGCGGATGCGCCAGCACCAGGAGCAGCAGCGCCTGGCCACAACCGTCAACCGCATCGACGCCTATGAAGTGGTGGAGGGCAGCACCGACGAAGTGGACAAGGTGAGGCGGGGATCGGGTGGGCGGGGCACAAGGAAGACCAGCCCCAAAGCTCTTACACGGGTAGTCCTCGACTTACGACGGGTTGCCTAGGAGTGACTAGAACTCACCGTCTCCTGGTGATTGGCCCGAAGTCACCCACTTGGCTTTCAGGTCTAAGGCAAGACTACAATTCCCAGTCTCCTGGTGAGTGGCCCAAAGTCACCCAGCTGATTTCATGCCTAAGGCGGGACTAGAATTCCCAGTCTCCTAGTGAGTGGCTCGAAGTCACCTAGCTGGCTTTTATGCTTAAGTCGGGACTATAACTCCCAGTCTCCTAGTGACTGGGAGTTCTAGTTACTCAGTCAAACTTCGTACCTAAAGAGGGACTAGAACTCACCGTCTCCTGGTGTGATTGGCCCCAAGTCACCCAGCTTTCATGATTAAAGAGGAACTATAACTCTCAGTCGCCTGGGGATTGGCCCAAAGTCACCCAATTGGCTTTCATGCCCAAGGCGAGACTAGAATTGGTTGTAAGTCAAGGACTATCTGTATATGGAACCATCTGAGTGGGAGGAGAAGCCGAGATCCAGCTTGAAACTAATCATGGTTAATCCCAACCCAACTCGGTTTGTGGTTGTCTTTGCTTCTCTCATTTGCAAATGGAGCTTTTGGGGTTCAGGGCCAAAAGTGACCCCCCCCCTTTGCTTCCTCTCCCCCCCCCCCAGATCTTGAAGGAGTTCCAGCACCTGGATCTGACGGGCCCGATCCCTGGGACGTCCCGAGAGGAGACGCGACAGCTGTTGCTGGAGGGGCCCCTCAAGATGAGGGAAGGCAGAGACAGCAAGGTGGGTCCCCGAAAAGGGTTGGGGGGGGCTGGCAAAGGGCCGGGGAGAGGGGGGCGCTGGCTCCGCTTTGGGGCTGACGGGAGGAAGGAGGAGTTGTGGGAAGGGATATGTGTGCTAGCTTTCTGCTTGCGGGGATGATGGGAACACGTCAGGTCTCCCAAGCGCCCCAAACTTCTCTCCCTTCCAGAGAAAGTCTCAGATGCATAATTTAGCTGTGATTGGCATTTTCTTGTCGGTCCCTTCTTCCTTCCTTCCTTCCTTCCTTCCTTCCTTCCTTCCTTCCTTCCATTTTCTTTTTTTTTCTTTCTTTCTTTTTCCTCCCTTCTTCCTTCCCTCCCTCTTTCTCCTTCCCTTCTTCCCTCCCTCCCTCCTTTCTATATTTTTTTCATTCCTTCCTATTTATCTCCTTCCTTCCTCTCTCTCTTCTCTTTCTTCTCTCTCCTCTCTCCCTCCTCTTCTTCTTTCTTCTTCTCTTCTTCCGCCTTCCTTTCTTCTTTTTTCCTTTCTTCCCTCCCTCCCTCTCCTTTCTGATCCTTCCTTCCCTTCCTCTCTCTCTCTCTCTGCTGCTTCATCCCTCTTCCTTCCTTCCTTTCTTCTTTTTCTTATTCCTCCTTTCCTCTTTCCTCTTTCTTCCTTTCCTCCCTCCCTCCCTCTCCTTTCTGATCCATCCATCCTTCCTTCCTTCCTTCCTTCCTTCCTTCCTTCCTTTCTTTCTTTCTTTCTTTCTTTCTTTCTTTCTTTCTTTCTTTCTTATTCCTCCCTCCCTCCCTCTTTCTTCCTTTCCTTCTTTCCTCTCTCCCTCCCTCCTTGCTATATTTCTTTCATTCATTCCTATTTCCTTCCTCCCTCTCCCTCCCCTTTCTTTTCCTTTCTTTTCTTTCCTCCCTCCCTCCTTTCCTCCCTCCCATCCATCCACAGACATCCCCAAACCCACCGGGGTCCTGTCCCTCCTCAGGGGTCTCCATGGCAAGGAGATTCCCCCCCCCCCCCGCCCGCCTGCTCCTCCCCACCCCTCTCTTGGCTCTTTCTCTCTCTCTCTCTCTCTGGCCAGATGGACGTCTACTGCTTCCTCTTCACCGACCTCTTCCTCATCACCAAGCCGGCCAAGAAGGCCGAACGCACCCGGGTGGTCCGTCAGCCCCTCCTCATCGACAAGCTGGTGTGTCGGGCACTCAGGGATCCAGGTAAGACCCCCCCCCCCCAAATGGGAGCATAATAAGGCTCTCCCGGGCTCCCCATCTAAATTCCCAACTTTAAGAAACTTTTCTTTATTCGTCGTATTAGAGATCCTGATCCCCAGTCGTCCTCGACTTATGACCACAATTGTGCCCCAAAATTTATGTTTGTTAAGCGAGGCAGCCGTTAAGCGAGTTCTGCCCCATGTTAGGACTTTTCCTGCCACAGGTTGTAAGTTGGGGACTGCCTGTAGTTTGGTTTTTATAAGCTTTTTTCTTTTTTTTCTTTTGTCTGTTCCTGCCCCAAGGATCCTTCCTGCTCGTCTACCTGAACGAGTTTGGCTGCGCCGTGTGTGCCTACACCTTCCAGACCAGCGGGCAGTCACTGTGCCGGAGCTGGGTGGAGGCTGTCTGTAACGCTCAGGTAGGCACTGCTGGACTCTGGAGGCTCTTCCCCAGGGAGCTCAGAACAAAACAAAACGAAGTCTTAACATGGATGCACAGAACATCCCCTCTAGCTGAATGCTGATTAGCATAATACACTCCTTTCTTTCTTTCTTTCTTTCTTTCTTTCTTTCTTTCTTTCTTTCTTTCTTTCTTTCT